CCCCTTTACTGGCTCCACCCCTGCCTCTTTGACCTGTCTGTCTCCTCTCCACCTATCTTCTCCTTTATCCATCTTCTATCCGCCTCCCCCTCTCTCCCTATTTATTTCAGAATCCCCTTCCCCTCCCCCATTTCTGAAGAAGGGTCTAGGCCCGAAACCTCAGCCTTCCTGCTCCTCTGATGCTGCTTGGCCTGCTGTGTTCATCCAGCTCTATATCTAGTTATCACAGGTTCTCCAGCATCTGCAGTTCCTACTATCTGAGTGCGGAATCTGATCGGTTTAGGGAGCCGCTGGGTGGTTGCTCATGAGAGGAGGGGGATTGTGCGATTGGGCAGATTTATTCTACTGCTCGGTTGAGTTATGCAGCCTTTCGACTGGTTATTAAACTAATATTTATAGAATACGTACAGTATTGCAGCGAAGTCCCATGTTTCTGGCTAAAGCCTCCGTCCAGAGCTCATGCACAGGGACGTTCTTGGAGGATCTCGGGTAGCGGGAATCGGTCCATCGGGACTAAGCTTGAACCTCCCGAGCAATTTCCATGGATGTCCGTGCGTCAGGACTCCCGCAGGGTTACCTCAGACAGTCTGGAGACAAAGATTTATTGAATTTATAGCTCTGCTGGTCTTTGGGAAATCTTTTGTGAGACTCACCCACTCAGTGCCCTCTTCTGACAAGAACTGGGACTGCAAAAGAAGCAGTGCCGACCTCGTACATTAAGTGGTGATCGTTCGAACAGAACGTATCAAACTGACATCATTCATGCTCCTTTTTGTCTAGGCCCAAAACGTCAGCCTTCCTGCTCCTCTGATGCTGCTTGGCCTGCTGTGTTCATCCAGCTCTACACCTTGTTATCTCTAATATTGGCTAAACCAGCAGACATTTATTGGAAAAAGAAGTATTTTATTCTCGAATCTAAATCAGGACTCCGTAACCATGATGTGTCGGTGTTGAATTGGGGTGGACAAAGTCAGGACAGCAAGCTCCAGTTTACTCATGGCTCTGAGAATATCACTCGGTTATGGTGAACAAAGTCAGAAATCACATGACACCAGGTTATAGTTCAACAGGTTTTTGAAATTACAAGTTTTGGTGCTGCTCCTTCACCTGGCGAAGGAGCAGTCCTCCAAAAGCTTGTGACTTCTGACTTTGTCCAACATACAGTGATATTCTTACTTCACCTGACAAAGAAGCAGTGATCCGAAAGCTCGTGATTTCAAATAAGCTTGCTGAACTACAACCTGGTGTGCCTTTTGTGCAATAGAATGTTGTATTTTGATGCGGGCTGTGTGAGGCAATGGTGCTAACTCGAATTTTAAACATGCATTTCTAAGAGTGATTCCTGGACCTCCCCCTGACCTGGTTTATTCCTATTTCCTGCAGGAAAGCCCCTGGATGGTGGAGAGAAATATTCCTTAACAAAGAAAGAGCACAGTGGCAAAAACCATGGAATGCAGCTAGTAAATCCTAGCCAGCATTTGACACTGAAACCTCAACGAGGAAATCACCATTCACCAAAGGGAACCATACACACAATAGTGAACCCTTCCAAAGTTCCATCTGTCACCACACTTGTGGCAGACTCTGAATATGTAAGTGCCAGGTTTGGCAGGAGGAGCAGAGTGCATTCCAACAAATTCAAAGTACATTGAATTCCTGTCCAGGAGAGCTTCAAGTTAGAGCAAATACAATGTGGAGCTGGAGGAACACAGCAGGCCAAGGAGCATCAGAAGAGCAGGAAAGTTGACATCTCGGGTTGGGACCTTTCCTCAAATGGGGAGGGGGAAGAGAGCTCAGCAATAAATAGAGAAGGGGTGGGGCTGGGGAAGGTAGATGGGATGGTGAAAGATGAGTGCAGGTAGGCGGTGGTGGGGATTAGTCAGTGAGGTGGGAGGAGCAGATAGGTGGGAGAGAAGATGGACAGGTTGTGTCAGGTTCAGGAGTTGGGGATGAGAGGGAGAGTTGGACATGGGATGAGGCCAGGGGTGGGGAGATTTTAAAACTGGTGAAATCCATGTTTAGGCCACTGGGTTGTAGGCTCCTGAGGCAGAATATGAGGTGCTGCTCCTCCAGTTTGCAGTTCTTGCTATCTCTTTAAGTTAGAGCAATTTGGTTTGCAGATTTAAACTGTCAAAGGCTGCATTAGTATAAGAATAGGAGTGTCCTGTAATCTCATTGAATGTCCATTCTGAAGATCCCAGCTAGCAAGTTTGGACGCTTGTAGATAAAAGTGGATGCTTGGGTGAGAATTGTATCAAACACCAGTTTTCTAATTCCAAGAAATATATTGCATTGTTTAAGTACCTTTCACTACCTCAGGCTGTCCCAAAACACTTTCTCATTAATTCAGGTATCATTGTGATCCTGAAAACCATGACTTTAAATCAAACATTGATTCCTGTGGGAATCAACGTGAGATCCAAACCTAGGTTCCTTTGGACATTTTCCAATCAGAAAAATGTACTGCTTGGAGGATCAGGTAGTTGAGTTGCTTGGAGATTTTTGCCCCCTCAGCCATGTTAATCTCACCTCCTTGTTTCTGTTGAAGTCTTCCTCTGTGTTCAGAGTCACAGAATTGTTACAGCACAGAAGGAAGCGATTCAGCCTGCTGTGCTTGCACTGGTTCTATTACCTTGTACCAATTTACTGCCTTTTCCCCAGAACCCTGAACACTATTTCAAACCAGAGCTGAATTAACCTTTTTCCCACACTCTCTGGCTGCCATCAATCAATGGAGGTGTTTGACTTCTTTCAGGGATGATTTGAGGACACTAATGGCAGTGGCTTTGAGTGGTTAATGGTGTCTCTTTAATGGTGTCTCTCTCTTAAAATAGCTGCCTTCTCACATGCTGCAGAATTGAACAAGGGCCAGACTTGGGGTGGGGGATTGGGGACACATTCCAAAACTGATCAATTTAAGATTCAGCTTCCTGAATAGTAAATATCAAACCTTGTATTTGCCACTCAAACAAGTCCTGAGACAAGGAAAGCAATGTTCCATGCTGAACAGTATCAAATGGTCTCCTTGCGTCACCTGATGTGAAGCACCACAAACAGTTACAAAATTTAAATTGCTGTGCAGAGTCAAGAAGTGGGGCTTCTTTTAGATTCACAAATGAACAGCCAATGCTTCAATTTATTCCTTGCAAAACAAACAACTGTTGATTTGGATATTCTTCACTAAGAACTTTGCTTCAGAGCTTTTTCAGAAAAAGCTGAGTCACGGTTCCCTCAAGTGCAAAAGACAGCCTGCAGTCCCACCACCTTCGGAATCGATCGATGGCAATTGGGTCGTGGGATCCAATGTCATGTCGACATCAAATTACGTAAAATGATGCGTAATGTCAAAGCTACATGAAATGCTGCATAACAGCGCAAAATAATGTTGCATTGAAATTGAAGGCGCAAATTGGAATACTGGCCCGAAAAATTGCATGATTTCAAAGCAAAACTATTTAAAGCTGGGCAACTTCAAAACAAACATGGTGTAATTACTTATTTGATGCATAGTAATGGCAAGAAAAAAATGACAACCAATATTTGCACAATGCAGCAAATTATAATTGTACATGTGTAATAACCCTAAATCATGTGTGTCTTAGTGTCATCTCCTGTACATGTACACTGGATAAAAAGGAATGATTCACTCCCATATAGCCTGTTTGTCTGTGTACATATACAGGTTACTGGGCGGGTAAAAAGAAATGATTCACCATAGCAGCCATCCGAAGTTGTTTGTGTCCAAGTGACTGACTGGTTATCAGAACATTTCCATTTATGTCATTGGATTAATTCAAGTGGGGTTCTCCAGCATGTGAGTAACTCCAGTGAGAGTAACCAGAGTCGTTGCTGTGGAGTATGTAACACCGCAATGAAGCATGTCTTTCTGATGGTGACCTGGTTGTGGGAGACACTATGCTGAGGATGTGTAGGGAGAGAAGGATATAAATAGGATAGTCATGGCCAGTGGAAACTAGGCACAATGGAAAGCCCAGCGCTTTGAATAAGTGCAAGTTGGCATATTAAATATAGTTTCCTCTTCTACCCCTCTCCTAACCTACCAACAAGTCCCATCAAGATCTTGCAACGTGCAAAATAACCTTTCCCTTCATTAGCTAGAAATCCTGCCCCCCCACCATTTTTCCCATTATCCAACTCTTTAAAATCAGGTATGGAGAGAAAGTAACACATGACCAAGTATGATTTGATATAAATGACTCATGAAGCATTAAGTTTTAATGCAAGAACATCAACTCACAGGTGTCAGCAAATATATTTACTCTCCTAAAGCTGCTTAAAACTTGTCTCCGCTAACTTAATTACTGTTCCTTCTAATCTTCCACTTGTGACTGAGTTTTTACTGAGTGAGATGAAATTAAGAGGTGCATTGAGGTGGTTCTAATAAAGGCCCAAAGTGACACTGTTTCTGGGTAGTTCCTGTCTCAGAAGCCACTTGTAATGGCAAAGATTCTGGACTTTTACCTGATGTTGTGTTGTGTCGAGCATTTTAAGGTGGTAGGATGAGTTTGAGTCTCTAGAGAAGTAGTAAATCTGCACCAACCACCCAATGAGCTTCAAGGTCAAGATGTTGGTTTGGGGTGGACCCTTGCCTGATGTTTTGACTGGAACAGATAATTTTAAAGTCTGTAGACCGGTAAGAACATTTTAAATAAGTGGGGGAAAAAAATTGGGAAGAGCATTTACCAAATTTAGAACATACAATATTCTGGAGATGGTCTTCACAATGGATGTTCAAAATGTAGTTGGGTGGTAAAACAAGAAAGGCCTCAGTGGGACAACAACTATGAATTGGAGAGGATTCAGTAAGTGTTGGGGTACTGTAGGGTTAGAGGTTGATGAACAAATGCAACTTTGGAATTTGGAACGGTTGCTCAGTGGTTAGCACTGCAGCTTCACCGAGGCAGGGACCCAGGTTTGATTCCAGCCTTGGGCGACTGGCTATGTGGAGTTTCCTCCAGGTGCTCCAGTTTCCTCCTACAGTCCAAGGATGTGCAGGTTAGGCCATGCTAAATTTCCTGTAGTGTCCAGGGTTGTGTAGGCTATGTGAATGAGCAATGGGAAATGCGAGCTTATGGGGGTGGGTCTGTGTGAGGGGGTCTTGATGGGCTGAATGGCCTGCTTCCACACTGTAAGGATTCAATGATTCTAACCAATTGTTTCTCTGCTTAGGGTCCATGTCGTAGGGAGATGGAATCAATTCTCCAGGACCTGAAACCAGAGTTTTTCCATAGCCCAGAGGACATTTACATCCCAAACTGTGATAAGCAAGGGTTCTACCGGAGCAAACAGGTAAATAATAACAAACATTTCCCAACTGATTATATGGTTCCTGAATCGTAACGGGAAGCCCTTGCCACTCAACAGTAGTAAAGTCTGAGGCAAAATTGTGTAAAATGGGTGAGTGTAAGACAGCAGATGCTGGATTTAACTGTGTGCCATTGCTCCCACCCCACCAGTAAAATACATTGGGGATGGGGTTCCCCACCAGTTGCACGTCTGGCAGCAACACCTACTGTGGGGGCCATGGTCAGAAATACAGTACGTCTGGGGACAGGCTGGTGTGACAGTATGGTATCCACATTCGAGAAGCCAGAGGGAAGTATTAAAGGGCACCATGGGGGCATTGCACACAGGGCCCCCACCCTTGTCCAACACCAGCAGCTAGAACTGCTGGTCTTCCTATCTGGTATGAGCCTTCCCCTGTGGTTGGTAAGACAGCAGTGATTCAGGACGTTGCAATTAAATGGCCATTAAGTGCCCACTTACAGTCCTCAATTAGCATAAGGATGTGTGAGCTGCCTGACAGCTTGTTTCAGTTATTTGCCAGTGGGGCACTATATAGTCAGATCCAGTCCCAGATTTCTTAAGTTTGATTTCCTGAATGGACTATTTTTCTTCCCCTTCCCTGTTGTTGGACACTGAGGACAATTGTCATCCTTTTCCCCCCAACCTTGAGTGTTACCAATTAACTCATCAATTCCCAAAGTCTGTTCAGTTTGGCTCTGTGCCAGTCAAGTAACTGAAAATGCAGAAACCTGGATTCTCCAAAGTCAATTTTTATGCTGCTGTTGAACTATTTAAAATAAATGAATTCCTGGTGCTGTTGTCAATGGGTACGGCATTGTGTCCAGTCCTGGCTCATGGGATGAAAGTCATAGGATACGGTGACTTTCAGCATCTCAGTCACCTGAGATAAGGAAGGGCGATAAACTGAGCCAGATCTCAGGGTGGCACGGTGGTTCAGTGCTGCTGCCTCTCAACGCCAGGGACCCAGGTTTGATTCCACCCTTGGGTGACTGTCTGTGTGGAGTTTGCATATTCTCCGTGTGTCTGCATGAGTTTCCTCCGGATGCTCCAGTTTCCTCCCACAGTCCAAAGATGTGCAAGTTAGGTGGATTGACCATGCAGCGTCACAGGGTAGCGGGCTGGGCCTGGGTGGAATGCTGTTTGGAGGGTTGATGTGGACTTAATGGGCCAAATGGTCTGCTTCCACACTCCTCATTCTATGATGACTTCTCCTGTACGGTTCTGTTCTGCTGCTGCTGTTTCTTCTTTTTAAAAACTTAACTTGTCTTTTAGATGCAAACACATTTTTATAAGTTTCTCAGTTGGTCACATTCTCTCTGTACCTACGCCAGAAAGTCAAGGCACAATTTAGGGACTTGAGCTATCATCCAGACTGACAATCGATCACAGTACCAAGCGAGGGCTGTTGGAACATAAATGTTCTTAGGCACACACTATCTTGGGAAGACAAGCAGAATGGCAAAGGAAGGAGGGCGTAATCCTGATAATAAATGTGGGCCTCGTGAGAAAGAGTCTATTATCAGAAAATCATGAATTTGAATCCATGTGAGTGGAAATTTAGGAATAATGAGTCAGCAAATACTGGTGGAGGTAGTTTATAAACCCTTAAAATAGTTAAACCATTAAAATATAAAGCCTATTTTTACATGCTCCAATGTACCAATTGCAAGGGACTTCAATCTTCTTTTAGAGTGGATGAATCAAAATGGTGAGAGTGGTTCAGGAGATGAGCTTGTGACTTTTGTGCCTGTTTCCTGGAACAATATGTGGTGGAAGCATAGAGGGATATACCTATTTTAGATCTATATAGTGTAATGAGGCGTGGCTAATTAATATTATTAGACAATCTGCTGGAAGCTTTCAAAGAAGAATCTAATATCTATGTAATTGCATTTGTTTAATTTTAAGAGGGGAACTGACTAAGCTTGGTTGGGTAAATAGACTAAAAGGCGTGGTGGAAAATAAACAGTGGGAAACATTTATTAAAAAGATGTTTGACAAAAATACATTCCATTTTAAAGCAAGAAGGATCCATCCATGATTGACTAAGGAAGTTAAGGATAGTATTGGATTAAAATGAGTGTAAGAACGTTGCAAGTCTATGGACTTGGGAGTGTTTTTGAAACCAGCAAACATTGATAATAAGGGAAAATTAGTACACCAGAATAATCCAGCCCAGATATGAAAAGACTGTAAGAGTTTTTAGAAGTACTTAAAGGCGAGAAGCTAAAGTAAATATTCATCTCTTCAGAGCAAAGACTGGACAAACTATCAGGGAGAATGAGGAAATGGTAGAGACACAGAACAAATACCTTTGCCAGTATCCACAGTGGAAGACACACAAATTACATACCAGAACTAGCTGGTAGCTGAGGGGCTAATAAGAATGAATGATTTATTATCGCGTGTATCAAAATACAAGCTTTGTTTATGAGTGGTACAGGCAGTAAGCAAAGGATGTACAGATCAAAAAGACTTAGACTGAGGCATACAGGTTACATTGCACACGGCGTGTGCTAAGATCAATGTTAGCAAGATCGGTGTTATTTGAGGCTACAGAGTCCATTCAACCTGGATAATGGCCGGGAAGAAGCTGTTCCTGAACCTGCTTGTGCATGTGTTCAGGCTTCTGAATCTTCTGCCTGATGGAAGAGGTGGTAAGAGGTCATTACTGGGGTGCAATGGGTCTTTGTTGACTGCCTTTCTGTGGCAGCGAGCCCAGCTACCAAACAGGAAAAGGCCAGTGTCCTGTGTGCAAAGTTCATCTTCTTCTGAAGAAGTCAGATATTAATCTGTGTGCTCTCCTCTGAGGGTAGCACTGCCTGAAACTTCTAAAGAGAAGATTTCACTACATTTGGTTGGCTTCCATGATGGTCTGGGCTGTGCACATCACCTTCTGTAGTGGCCATACCTTTTATGCACCTGGACAGTATGCTGTCAATGGTGCATCCATAGAAGTTCATAGATCATAGAATCCCTACAGTGTGGAAACAGGCCCAACAAGTCCACACCGATCCTCAGAGTATCCCAACCAGACCCATCCCCCTATAACCCACCTAATCTAACATCCCTGAACACTACAGGCAATTTAGCATGGCTAATCCACCCAACCTGCACATCTTTGGACTGTGGGAGGAAACCCACGCAGACACTGGGAGAATGTGCAAACTGCAACACAGACAGTCGCCAGAGGGTGGAATTGAACCCAGGTCCCTGGCGTGGTCATCCACTGTGCCACCCCAAGTTGGTGAGGGACCTTAAGGCCTTGCCAAATTTCCTGAGCTGCCTGAGGCAGAAGAGGCGTTATGTCTTCTTGAGCATCTATGTGGGAAGTCCAGAACAGGTTGTTAGTTATCGTCACTCCAAGGAACAAGATGCTTTTCACCCTCTCAACCTCAATTCCGTTGACATTCCACGTGTTCTCCTCCTTTCTTTCTGAAGTCAATGATCAGTTCTTTAGTTTTGCTGCCATTGAGAGACAGATTGTTTCCATTGCAGCAAGCCCTCTAATTCCCTTCTCTAGTTAAACTTAGCTACTCCAGGGACTCAAATTTTAAAAATGCCCTGGTTGATGGCCTACATTGTAAGGATTCAAAAAGAGAGAGCTGCAGAGATTGTAGATGCACTGATTGTGATTTTCCAAAGTTCCCTAGATTCTGGAATAATCCCAGTAAATTGGAAATTAGCAGTGTTAGTACTGCCTTTCAAGAAACTAGGGAAGAGAGTTAGCTTGCTGTCAGTCATCAGGAAATTGGAATTTGATTACTCATAAAACCATATGAACTCTTTCTAATCATATTATGAAAGGAAAATTTGTGTTTGACAAATATTATTAAAGGTTTTTGAGGATGTAACTAATGTGTGTGATCAGGTAGATGTATATATGGATTTCCAAAAGCCATTGATAAGGTGCCTTTCAAGGACTAAATGAATTTGGGGGTGACATATTAGCATGCATAGAGAATTGGTTAAGGGATGGGAAGCAAAATGTAGGATTAAAAGGACATTTTCAAGTTGCCAGGCTGTGACTGGTGGCTGAGTGCTGCAAAGGTTGGTGCTGGGGCCTCAGCTACTTAGAGGCAGAGAGTAATTTATCTAAGTTTGCTGATGTTACAACACTTAGAAATGTAAACTTCAAGGCTGCAAAGAGCTCTAGATAGTTTGGTGGCAGTCACTGGTTGTCCATCGATGAGAAGCTGGGTCTAAAGTTCCCTGGAGTTTAGAAGAATGGGAGGTGATCTCATTGAAACGTGCAAAATTCTGGACGCGTTTGACAGAGCAGATACTGAAAGGTTGTTTACCTGGGCTAGGAAATTTAGCACGTGGGATCAGAGACTAAGATGAGACAAAATTTATTCACTCAGGATTGTGAATCTTTGAAACTCTCTCCTCAAGAGTTGAGGATACTCTATTGTTGAACATATTTTAAGGCCAAGAGAAACAGATTTTTGGTCTCTTGAAATCGGCAGGAGAGGTGGTGCTGAGAAGTGGAGTTGAAGCCGTGGGGCAGGTGCAAAGGGCTGAATGGTCTACATCCTGATCATCTTGTGTCTTGGACAGTGTTTTATGTCAATCAACATCACTGAGCATATTATCACATTGCTGTCTGTGTAAATTCTCTCCAGGTTCCCTACATTAAACAAAACAATTCTCTCCAGGTTCCCTACATTAAACAAAACTACACTTCAAAGATACTTAATTGGCTACAAACTGTACTGGGACATCTCAATGTGTTGTTTGTCTGTTTCTCTCCTTCCACTAAAGCCAGTGTTTTCAATGTTTCATAGTGCAAGCCGTCAAGAGGCAGAAAACGGGGTCACTGCTGGTGTGTGGATAAGTATGGTCATTCACTCCCTGGGCTACCAAACAGGAAAAGGCCAGTGTCCTGTGTGCAAAGTTCATCATCTTCTGAAGAAGTCAGATATTAATCTGTGTGCTCTCCTCTGAGGGCAGCACTGCCTGAAGCTTCTAAAGAGAAGATTTCACCAGAAAGAATAACTCTCCAATCAGCCTTAATCTCTACCTAGATCCTAAATCAGCTCCTAGAATGAGCCAGCTTTCCTGAAATGACACCTGGAAGTCGCTTAGTTTAAAGGTTAGGAAATATGTCACAACTGCAATGAACAGTTTCTGAAATCCCACTTTAATGCTGATTCCTACTTGTTTAGAGCCTGGGGCAAACTTCTTTGCCGAGCTGCCCGGTGTCCAGTGTCTGGCATTATCAGACACACTGACATGGCTTCACTCATTTTCCAGCACCAATCTTGATTTGGAGTTTTAAGAAGTCCTGCTGGTGATAATGTTCCTGGTAGAACTACTTTGGGCCTGTTTCTGCTAAACTGTGGCATCCAGAAAATGCTGGCTGACTCTCCCTGGTCACTCAGTGGGTGAAAACACCAGCTGACCTGGTGCTGAGCCAGACAAACTAGTCTATACCATTGCTTTATTGCCTGCTACCCAATGATCCCTTCAGGAAAGTGTACCTTTGTAGTTGTCGAGCTGTGATTCTCTCTGTTGCACAGCTTCCTTGGCTCCTCACACTGGCCAGCTGTCTTAGGTGCTGATAGTGGGGTCTGAATGAATCAACCCCCTCAGGAGAGCAGAAAATATGAACTAACTTTTGAGTGTAGCAGTCTCTTACTGAAGCTGTAATCCAGAATCCATGATTAATGTTGTCTGATTAGGTGACTGGACTGGCCACACGTTTACCCTGTAGGTTCAGTCCGCTGGAGTGTTTAATGTGTCTCCTCCACATATTTTGAGTATAAGTTTTCAAATAAGGTATTAAACTTTTGGGAAAAAAAAATGCAGGGTGAAGTTGGAGGCTGCACACTGGCAAACAGACTTGTGAAGCTTCTATTTTATCATATCTCATAATTGTCATGCAGAATAATTGGCAATGACTGTTCATTGAAGTTTGATTTTCTTTCTTGACATAGTTTTGTGCAGAAATATTTTTGAATGGATTATATGTCACTGTCCTCCTATTTCTCTTCAAACAATGTCAAACTATTACTTTCAATTTTCTGCCTAAAGGTCCCTGTTGACTGTCAGGATATTTCTTGGGTATGTACTCTCCTTGTGATCCAAGTTAGTGTGGGTACACAGCCCAAGCAGTTTTATATCATTTTGCAGGACTTGATAAGTACTATGTAATTTTTTTTAAAACTGGGAGTATAATGCATCTATATATTTAAATTCCATAGAGAAATACTGAAATGTACTTGAATGTAGTGTCTAAAATCAATAAATACTACTTTATCATAAATTTGTGGTATTGCTTTAACATTTGGGAGTTGTCCGTGCAATTTTATCTTTTCTGATCTCATGATCATCTTTGGGATAATTGGTGAGGGATTTGTGTGCACAGCATTCAATAAAAATGGAAATAGTTAACCTAAATCATCTAATTGTGACTTTTCTGAAGGAAGGGTTGCCTGAGACACTGACCGTACTTTCAGCACAGGAGGTTGGGGGGGGGTGGTGCGGTATGTGTGACTGCGAGAAATACTTGGTCCTAAGCAGCAAGAAGCTACTAGTTCTCAAATATGCATCATTCTGTGCGGTGTCATTCAGTGTAGGTGTGCTGGCTCTTTGAAATTAGTCCCACTCTCATCTGCTCTTGGCATAAAGCCCTATGAGTTCTTCCCATTCACATACTTATCATATTCCATTACCCCTTTAAAAGTTAAGATTGAATCTGCTTCCACCACCTTCAGGCAGCTCATTCCATTTAGCTGTTCACCTGATTATGGCCAAGACCAGGAGCAGATCCACAAGGAGGTACTCTGATCTAGATGCCCAAAGATCAGAAGTGTGGGGCTGAAGTGCAAACGAAAACACAAGATTTTTTTTCAAATTACTGAAAAAAGGGGTGCAAGCACCCACAGCCAATATATGCATGGTCCTATAAAATAAACAGTTGGGCTGGGAGTCCGTGAACTGCTATAGTCTATTAACTAAAAAGGCATTTGGCACACTTGCTTTCATTGGTCAGTGCATTGTGTAGGATAATTTGCTGTCCAACTTAGGAGGTTGACTGGAGAAATTTAAATCTTTTAAATCAGAGTTACTCACTGAATGTGTTTAAGGCAAGGCTAGATAAATTTTTGAACAGTAAAGGAATTAAGGGTTATGGTGTGCGGGTGGGTAAGTGGAGCTGAGCCTCAAAAAGATCAGCCATGATCTTATTGAATGGCAGGGCAGGCTCGAGGGGCCGGACGGCCTACTCCTGCTCCTAGTTCTTATGTACTATGCATTTCTGTGAATGATGGGAATAGAACAAGTAATTTTGGAGTTACAGACATAGATTGCCACCTGGGATGATGGTGTTGAATGTTCCTGGATGAAAAGTGTTCAGATAAGGAAGGAAAGGGATGGTGTAGAAGAAGATTGCAATGGCTGGAGGGATGTTTGCCCTTCTCTGTCTTTCACACTGCGACTATCTGAGGGGTTGGTAATCAGACTCTTGCTTTTCCTGATATATAGATTAATTATATGGATATTAGCGTTAAGGGAACAACGTCAATCTTTGCAGATGATCCAAAAATTAGAAGTATTGTAAACAGTGAATAGGATAGTGTACAACTCTAATAGAACACTGACAAATGCATAGATAGGTGGCAGACAAAGTTTATTGTGAGATGGAAAGCACAGGTAGATAGACAGCATAAAAAAGATGTACTATTCTTAAGAGTGTAGATGTGCATAAATCATTGAAGGTGGCAGGACCTGTGGATAGTGACGGAAATAAAGCAAACAATATTCTCAGCTTAATAATTACAGCCTTAGCGTACAAGAGCAAATAGGTGATATTGAACTGGAAAAAGATACTTGTTGGACCTCCACTGGAGAAGTGTGTACAGTTGTGGATGCCATATTACATGAATGCAGTGAAGCAGTTTACAAGAACAGTTCCAGGAATGATAAACTTCAGTTATGAGGATTGATTGAATAAAGGGGACTGTTCTCGTTGGAGACAAGAAGACTGAGAATAGATCTGATAGAGACCACATTGGATAGAGGAGACAAAAATAAACTATTCTGGCTCCTAAAAGGAACAACAACAGAAGGGGTTTAAAGCGTTCGATAAATGAAGCAAGGTTGAAGTGAAGAAAAGCTTTTTCACTTCGTGAGCAGTCACGGTATGGAATGCACTTCCTGGAATGCTCTCGATGCAGATACAATCGAGGCATTCGACAGGGCATTTAGAGACAGAGTTATACAGCACAAAAACAGGCCGTTCGGTCCAACTCATCCATGCTGACCAGATATCCTAAACTGACATAGTCCTATTTGCGAACATTTGACCAATATTCTTCTAAACGCTTTCCATTCTTGTACCCATTCAAATGTTCTAATCATCCACCATTTTCTCTTGGCAGCTTTTTCCATGCACACACCAACTTTCCTTAGGAAGTCGAGTGGAGAAATTTAAATCTTTTATATCAGAGTTACTGTGCATTTCTGTGAATGCAAGGAATAGAACAAGTAATTTTGGAGTTACAGACATAGATTGCCACTTGGGATGATGGTGTTCCAACAATAAGAGACTTGGCTCAAGATAAGGTAGGACTGGGTGCTGAAGATTCCTGGATGAAAGGTGTTCAGTAAAAAAGTTGCCCCTCAGGTCACTTTTATTTTCTCCCCTCTCACATTAAACCGATGCCTGCTAGGTTTGACTCCCCAACTGTGGGAAACATAGAATTATCATCATAGAATCCCTACAGTGTGGAAACAGGCCCTTCAGCCCAACAAGTCCACACCAACCCTCAGAGCATCCCACCCCACTATAAACCCACTTAATCTACACATCCCTGAACACCACGGGCAATTTAGCATGGCCAATCCACCTCGCCTGCACATCTTTGGACTGTGGGAGGAAACCCACGCAGAAACGGGGAGAATGTGCAAACTCCACACAGACAGTCACCTGAGGGTGGGATCGAAGCCAGGTCCCTGGTGCTGTGAGGCAGCAGTGCTAACCACTGTGCCGCCTAACATACCTTAGCTGTTCACCGTATTCATTCCCCTCATGATTTTAGGAACCTCTATAAGGTCACCCCTCAGCCTGCAACATTCAAGAAAAAAATAGCAGCAGGCTATTCAGTCTCTCCCTTCAGCTCAAACCCTCCAATCCTAGCAACATCCTTGTAAATCCTCTCTGAGCCCCTAGTTTCAGCCCTAAACCTAATACTAACCCTAACCCAACTATAGCCTCTGCCCTAACCCTAACTCTAGCCTCAGATCTAAACTTAACCCTTAACCTAGCCTCAGAACTAACCCTAACCCTAACCCTAACCCTAACCTTGGCATCAGCGCTACCCCAGGACTTAGCCTTAATCCCAGCCCTAATGCTAAACCTAGCCTCGGCCAAACCCTAACTCAAGCCTCAGACCGAGCCCGAACCATAACCTCAGATCAACCCAAACCCAAGTGTCAGCCCTAACCCTAACCCTAGATTCAGCCCTAGACCTAACTCTAGGCTCAACCGTAACCCGAACCCTGTCCTCAGCCCTAACGCTAACCCTAGCCTCGGCTGAAAACCTAACCCTAACCGAAGCCTCAGCCCCAAACCTAACCCAAACCCTAGCCTCAGCCGTAATACTAACTCTAATCCTAGTCTCAGTCCTAACCCTAATCCGAACCGCTGCCCTAAATCTAGCCGTATCCCTAACCCTGGCCTCAGCCCAAGCCCTAAACATAACCCTAACCTCAGCCTCAGCGCTAACCTTAACTCTAGCCTCAGATCTAAACCAAACCCTTAACCTAGCCTCAGACCTAACCCGAGCCTCAGATCTAGCTTTACCCTAACCCTAAACCTAACCCTTGCCTCAACCCGAACCAAGGTCTTAGCCCTAATCCCAGCCTCAGTCCTAACCCTAAATATAGCCTCAGCCCTAAACATAACACTAGCCTTAGCCCTCACCTGAATCCTCGCCTCAGCCCTACCACTAACTCTAAGCCTAGTCTCAGTCCTAACCCTCACCCTAATCCTAGCCTCAGCCCTATAAACCTAACACTAACCCTAACTCAACCCTAGCCTGTGCCATAAACCTAACAATCATCCTAAACCGAGTCTCTGCCCTAACCCTAAAACTAACACTAGCGTCAGCCCTAACCCTAACTCTAGCCTCAGACCTAAACCGAACCCTAACACTA